GAAATTTCAAAAAAAATTTTTTAGGAAAAATCACAAATAAAACCCGTGAAATTAGAAAAATCACAAATTAGGACCTGTGACAACATTAATATGGGTTTTGACAATAATTTTTATGAACCGGTCTCTGTGTGGAATTTTTCTAATTCCACGGTCTTTATTTGTGATTTTTCCAAAATTTTAAGAGTTTACAGATATTAATTATCTAACAGGTTTATTGAAATTCTCCCTTATTAAAGAGGTTGTCAGGGCTGGCGAGGCATTTTATTATAAACACCTAATAAATGATAATTTTATATAAATTAATGAAATTAGTTAAAATAAGATGCTTTTTTATTCCTGAATGTAAGACCGTTTTGGTAGTGTAATTTTAACATTTAAAACCGAAAGGGGTATTAAAAATTATCAAATCGCTAGCTGCAAAACACGGGTTAGGTGGCATGTACATCGCTGGCTGGGATTATACCAAATCAAAACAAAACAAAAGAGCATATACGGGTCAGTGGACCAATCTTTGAATACATTGATTTCCCGCAAGCCAACCCCTGGACCAGACCACTCACAAAACAAATTACTTATTTAATTATGAATTTAATTTAGCAGCAAATTAATTTTATGTGGCTTTCATTAATACACAAAATTCCACAAGCAACTAATAAATTGTTAGGCCTCCTATATACTACTCTGTCTCTACATATATCCCCCCTTCTGGTAACCACAAGCTTCAGTTCTCATCAACTTTGGAATTGTTTGAAATATTAATAGTTAAGGAAATTAAACCAATCATGCAGACCATCCATTGATTAATAACCTAAAGTTGTGGATGATATAAAGCTTTTTGAATTACGATTAATGAAGCAAAATATCACAATAATTAATACAAATGCCGTGTGTGTGCGTGTGTGTGCGTGCATGTTCAAGTGTTAGGAAAAAGAAGGAACAGCAAGAACACTCTGGAGGACATGTCTGAAGCATGTTTCATTATAAACAGTCAAAGGCTTCCAATCAAGTGGCTCCTTTCAGTTTTGCCAAGAAAAAAACGCAGACACACACACACACACACATCAGGCAAATTTTAATAATCCAAAACAGCAATGAGGGGAAATAAAACAACTAAACCATAGAATAGGAAAAGATCGAATTCGGAGACAAAGGCATATCCTTGAGGATATTTTGAGCCCTCCACAACAAATAAAGTAAACTACTTTTGAATTATTAAAATAGTAAAAACAATCCCATAAGTAATGGACCCAATAGCAACAAAATGTGGAGAAATGAGCTCTCAAAACGTTTAAAGTATATGGGTCATCTTTCCTACTTGTATGCTTTTTCTTCAGCTCAATTTTGGGACTTCTCTACTTGTTTGGAGTGGTGAATGAAGCTTTCAAAAGCAAGTTTTAAATCGGAACTTATACGATATACTACGTTCTGTCTTTAATATAAGACTTTGTTTGACTTTTATTTTAATCTTAAATATAAGACAACAATTTGTCTTTTCTCTCATATTTATATTTTTTTTCCCCAAAGTAATCCTTCTAACAATGGTAGTTCTAACCAATATACTTGATTAGTAAGGATATGTTAGGAAAGACCACATATTTATTACAAATAACTAACTTAACTTCTTTTCTTAATCTTCCCAAATTAGTCAACTAACTCTTATAATTAGGACCGAAGGTAGTATAAGATAAGTATTTTAAAGGAATTTTGTTTCAGCTTACATCATAATCAGCTCCAAGTTTACTCATATTTGATATCCCAACAAAATCGTCAGTATTTGCCTCAGCCACTTTAGTACTGCAATGAACTAATTCTGATATATCACCATTTATATGTCATAATCAGGACGTTGTGCCCAATAGAACCAAGGGAGCATTCCTTGTCACTTTATTAATGGGCCCACGAAAAAACGATAAAGGAGGATAACTATTCACAAAGGCCGATGACGGCTGTTTAAAAATGTGAAGCCCACTTCATCAGAATTCTGGGCCACAAGCCCAACTTAACATTCATTCTTTACTCAATTTTTTTAATCGAAATTAATTATCCGAATTGTGAATATTAATATAATGTTGCTTAAATTAATTGGTGGCAGTGTTTAGCAGGATAAATAAGGAGTCAAATATTGGAGACGACGAAGTGGTACAAACCTCTTCTGAAGGAGCAAGAAATGAATGTTATACATACCCACCACTATTTTCCTATTTATAAATAATTTATATCAAATAAAAAATATATTAAATTGGTAACTTTTATATTTTTCCCTATTAAATAAAATGTATTAAAATATGTTTTATATTTCCTCTCATCCATTTACGTTATCTCTCTCTACATATTTATGAAGTCAACAAGGGTAAAATTAACAAAAAACTCCCATTAATTACTTTATAAGTGACTGATATTTATGAACAAAACTCTTTTCACAAATGACACATACATAAGAATAGGGTGGTATATATATTAATTGAGATTATAATGTTTATTGTTCATGTTAAGTTTCATAATTGAGGTTGGACAAGTGAACCAAAGTGTGTTTCATGCATAATGAGTGGGTTGCTTTCTATAACAGAAACCTACGTCAAAAATCTGATATACTGTCTCCGATCTAGCTTCGAATAATTAAATCACAGATAATAATTAAAATTAAAGTTTATAAAATCAAATAAATTATTTAAAATTTTTATTCTCCCTAATTGATTTGTGAAGAAGGTGATTGATTAAAGAGGAGGTGAAAATGAGGAAATATCACGAGAAAAGCGGTGGCTTTGCTTGCAGCGGTAGGGTCACGTGATGTGGAGAACATGGTGACACGTGGAAGCTTTGGTAACATCGCAACAAAAAACACGTGCTAAATAAAAGCATTTGTCGGATGTGATTGTTATAAAGACTTCAACTAATTAAAGTGCAATAACCAAACACTTCTTTATCCCTCAAGATTACTCCTCCTACCATTTTTTATAAAATACTCTTTCCGTTTTTAATATAAAAATTATTTAATTAATTTAAGTAAATTAAAAAAACTAAATCAATTATTTAATTTTAATAAGTGTGACTTAATGTCACTAAAATATTTGGCCATTGGAATAGAGTGCCGTGCCCCGTTTTTTACTCGCCTAAAGTGTTATTAAGCTTTAAAAAAAAAAAACTTCTGAATATGCTCAGGCAACTCCTTTACAAATACTTTCTGAGTAAAAATACTCTTAATTTCGTTTTTTCATATGAGGCTATGTTGGCACGTTATAAACAGCTGCAACGCTATACTATCTCTGGTTCTAATTATAAAATCTCATTTATAGTGTATAAACGAATTCTTATAATTATGACCTGCATAGAATAACTGAAACAACAATTCCAGCAAAAAAAACCCATATAATAATATATGTTACAGGTTTTATAATTTTTTTACTATTAAGTAATTAAATTGAGCACAATATCTTAGTTATAATTTAGTTAAATGGTTTGGTGAATAGACAAGCTGTATGATCATTTTAAATCATTTAGGTACAATTCATGAGATTTGAAGTAAGATAAAGAATAGAAAATCGCAACCCAATTCTGTTTCCTTTTGCCTAACAAAACCAAAGAAGGAATTAATTAATTAATTAAGGCCATAAACTTGAAAACAAAGAGACAGAGAAAGAGAAGGAAAGAAAGAACGACGCACGCAGACTTGAACTGAGAAAAAGTAAGCAAAATATAGTTTGGAAATGATATCCTACCACCAACCAAAACCGAATTAGTGGGTTAAATAAAAAGAACAAGCCGACACATAAAGCCATAAACAATAATCAATCAATCAATTAATTAATTAAAATGAAGGAATTATTGACAAGGAGTGTCACGATATTTTAATGTGGAATATAAAATCCCCACCATGTCTACGTAAAAGAAATAGTTTTTGAATATTGTCTGGTCTTTTTATAAAAAAAATTTAAAGTATGTCTACAATTATAATCAATGGCTTTTTTCCAATGTTCTTGTGTTAATCGTATGATATATCACTGTATTAATTGTTATTTACTCCCTCTCACTTTATAAATCAGAGTATCTTGAGAAAATAAAGTATTTCTTCCAATTATTAATATAAAAATTACTTAATTAATTTGAATATATTAAAAAATTAAATTAATTAATTAAATATAGTAAATATTGTGTGAGTTGTGAGAAAAATTAGAGTATTACAATAGGTCTTGTTTGACGAAAAATAGTAATTATGAGAGATACAATGAATTAAGATTTTATAAAGAGGATAGACAGATGTAAAAAGAATTCAAACTCCAACCCACTCAGGATTTGAAGAAGAACAGATTAAACTCGTGACTTTTTAACCACATGGAGACAATTTAACCAGTTGTTCCAAGGCTCTTCAACTAAAATCTGGTACCAAAAATTAAATTTAACCTCTAATTCCCTCTTATATTAGAAATGTATATTTTTTTTTACATATTTTTAATTTTAATTATCTTTTAATTTATGCAATTGAATTAATTATATTTTATAATAAATATTTTCTTCTCGAAGATAATTCTATACCTAAAGTGAAGAGTGGAAATTTAAAAGAAAAGGGGGAGGTAGAGTGAGAAGGTGCGGCGCTGCCGGCAGCACGCAGCACAACGCAAGCACGTCACCGTCATGCCGTCTCATGAGACTTCCAATTTTTAATAAAACAACGTGCAACACGTGCTCCAAATTAATATCCAACCTTAAAAAACACGACAACAACACACAATCTGTGTCCCTCCAAAGTCGAAACCAAACACCCCCCACCGTTTAACCCTTGTTTGTTTATTTATTTATTCCGTGACTCTGTGCCTTGCGTGTTTTCCAAGTACTTTTCCACTTTTCCCTAAACCCCCTCCTTTTGTTCTCTCTCTTCATTCTCTCTCTCTTCTTTATATGTATCACTACTCTCATTTCATCCGTCTCCAGTATTTTTCCCCCTCCATTATCACTCCTTCTTCTTCCTCTTGACATCCCCAGGACGACATCGTTTTCGAAGATCGATGAGGAGAAACTGCAACTTGGAACTTCGTCTCTTCCCTTCTCAGGACGATGCCGGCTACAATCACCCCATGTAAGATCATCATCTAATACCCAACCTATTCTCTTACTGATGATTTACTATAATATGCAGCAAATAAATAATTTTTTTTTGTTGTTGTCAATTATATTGCCCGCTTTACATATTAATGAACTGATATTTTTAAAAATGAATCATTTTTTTTAATTTGTTTGAATATAATGGATGAAGAATCATGGGAGGAGAAGGCAATAATAATAATGAGAGCAGTGAGATGATGATGAGTGCAGAGGATGAAGGGCAGCAACAGAAGCTCACAATTTTCTATGATGGCAAGGTCTGCGCTTCTGATGTCACCGACGTTCAGGTCTGTGTCTCCCTTTTAATTTCTTTCCAATATATATATAGTTCATATCTGAACATGATTGCAGAAAGAATTATAATGAGGTCTCAAGTAAAAAAATTAGAAAAACAATTGAAAAACAAGTCTTAAAGATTGTCATTTTTATTATAGGATTTATCATTATAAGCTGTTGAGATTGTTATTGGGACCTTTTAGTAATTATTTTTTTTCGTGGGACTTGAATGTAATTCCGCATGGTTATATTGACTAATTCCTCTTTCAAATTAAAATTTGGATAAAAAGAGGGTGCCGTTGATTGTTGAGGATTAGATTCGGAGAGATTTGCTTTTGACTGTTATTAGAATATATATATATATATATAGAGAGAGAGAGAGAGAGAGAGAGAGAGAGAGGGGAACGTGAATGAGTTGATCCATCCAGGAGAGGTTGAAAATGAATTGTGAAGGTAGGTGGGGGTGTGTATGTATATAAACACACACACACACATATATATATATATATATATATGCAGATATTTTGATTTTGATGTGAGGGTTAGAGTAGAGAAAGTTTCAAAGGAAGGAAACTTCATATATGACAATTGAAATCCGCACGCAGACTGTTCAATTCATGAGGAGCACAAGGTGTTCTAAAATATTCGGTGGTCCTAGGTTGCTCATCATCATCAACTACTGTCAAGAACTGTCATTACAATCTTCTTATTATTTGACTGATAATGGATAATAGTAACATTATTAACTGTTAACAAATCAGAGATAAATTTTTTTATCCCTAAAATATTTATAAAGGAGCAACCAACACCTAATTAATAACCCGCTAGGAACTTCATGATGAAAGTAGGGTCTAATTAGTTTAGGGTGTTTTAATTCTATTCTTTTTATTACTAGTGTAATCATAATTTTAGATTATTATTATTATTAAAGGATAATTATAACATGAATAATAATGCAGGCGAGGTGGATAATGAAGGAGGCGAGTAAGGAAATGGAGGAGAAAATGAAGAGATCATTATCACTTCCCTCATCATCTTCTTCGTCTTCAATCTCTGCAAGTCAGATGTGTAGCCCTAACACTGCACTTTCCATGAAGAGATCTCTCCAACGTTTCCTTCAGAAGCGAAAGGATCGTATCCACGAATCATCCCCTTACCATCCTTAATTAATTAAATCCTTCTATCACGTTTATATATATATACACATATATATTAATGGCTTTGTATATATATTAATTATGAATCACGTAGTACTTCTTCACCAGCCAATTGTCACTCTCACTTTGGCTTTTTCTTCCTTTATTCATTAATAGATTCTCTCTTTGTTTTTTTGTATTTTATATATATATATATATAGACAGTTTTATTCTGGACACTACCATCGATCTAGCTTATTATCACCTTTTTCTTCCTGCTTTATTCCTGTCCTTTTTCTCTCTTTATTCTTGTAATTAACAGTTAAATTAAAGCACGTTTTGATCTACATAAAGTATGAATATATGCATTGCTTTGGACTGGGATTAGGGATCCTCGATTAAAGTTTTCTTCCTTTTTCTTAAAAAAAATATAAAATATCACGTTTTTTTTCACGTGCTGCAAAAAAAAATATAAAATATTTCCTGCATATATGGGTATATAATAAGCTTCATATTACTCCTCTAATTTTATTTATAAGTCACTTCCAACATGTTTCACACACATATACTAAGAAAAACCTTAAATTTTATTAACTCTTATTTAAAATTTAATAACTTTTAAACTTTATCCCTGTTTAATATACATCATACCTTATATAAACAAAATCAATACAATAATAAATAAAGAGTAAAATTATACATCCATATAAAAATATTTCTTTCAGTACCCTATAAATAAAACAAAAAAAGATCTTCTCTCACTGGCCTATATATATATTAGGGATCCTCGATTAAAGTTTTCTTCCTTTTTTTTTAAAAAAAAAGTAAAATATCACGTTTCTTTAACGTGCTGCAAAAAATATATATAAAATATTTCCTGCATATATTGGTATATAGTAAGCTTCATATTACTCCTCTAATTTTATTTATAAGTCACTTCCAACATGTTTCGTACACATATACTAAGAAAAACCTTAAACTTTATTAACTCTTATTTAAAATTTAACAACCTTTCAACTTTATCCCTATTTAATATATATCATACCTCGTATAAATAAAATCAATATAATAATAAATAAAGAGTAAAATTATACATCCATGTAAAAAAGTTTCTTTCAGTATCCTATAAATAGAACAAAAAATGTCTTCTCTCACTGCCCTGTATATAAATAGGACTAGAAAAGTATGTGCTATTCTATAACAAACTCTCGTTATTAATATTATTACTCCCTCCGTTCCTTATTATAAGAGATGAATAACCGAATTACGTTGATCAAAAAAACAGTTAAAATTAGTTAAGAACAATTAATGTGTAAAAAGTATAATTTTTTTTCCAAAAATACCCTCATTAATAAGGAGAGAGAGCATGAGAGAGAACAATAGTAAATTCTTAAAAGAAAGAGAAGTGGGAAGGAGAGAAAGTGTGAGTTGGAGACAATAAATATGGGTAAAATAGGAAATCAACATAAAAAAGTAGAGACAACTTTTAAGTGTCTCTTATATTTAGGAACATGGTATAAGCATCAAATATCTCTTATAATAAGGAACGGAGGGAGTAATATTTTAAAATGTACTTAAATCCTCATTTGAATTGAATGAAAGTATATTAAGGTTATAAAATTAAGAATCTAAAAGTCTTGTCTACACTACACATGTTGCCATTAGGGGTTGAGGGAATCGAATAATGGTGCGTGTAAAATATGTGATTATTTTAATGGCACTCTAATTGATTGAATCTTCTGGTCCTGGATTAGCGCCACACAAAGACATATAGACCTGCAAGTGATTTGTCTGATTAACAACATGACCAATCATTATCAATTGATGAATTAAATTTCGTCTACTTTTAAAAATGATCGAAACACACTCGAAAAACATGTGATTCAACCACCCCGCCACCATTAATATATCATCAATAAATTTGCACATATATATATACATATATATATATCAGGTGATATACCTTTTTTTTTATTGAAAAAAAAAATCAGGTGATATACTTCTCAGCTCTTTTAACCACACATGAAACGAGAGATTAATTATATTTTTGTTAAGCAATCTACTCGTATAACTCATGCATTTATGTGTTATAAATAATTACTATTTAAATTCATGTACACATGTTGATAAAACTACTAAATAACCTAAATTACAACAAGATCCAATAATAACAGAAGACATCTTTATTTTAAAGGCTAAAGTATACATCTAATCCTTTAACTTTGTACAAGGTTTCAATTTAGTCCTTTAATTTTAAAAAACATGCATTTAAGATCTCAATATGTTTAACTCTAAAATCATTAGGCTTCAGTGATGATTTTTTGTAATAATCATGAATTTTTTGAAAATTAAAGTTAATATGTTAGCATTTGAGAATATTTTATTAACATTTAAGATCTTAGTATCATCATTTTTTTTTTTAAAAAAAAGGGTTAAAAGACCAAATTAAAATCTTATATAAAGTTAAAGGACTAAATGTATACTTTAACCTATTATAAAATATCATCAAATTTTAATTCCACCTATTAATATTATTATTTTCATGAATGAAGGATAACATGATATAAAAATAAGAAATATTTTACTAAAATTGAAATGGATTTTAATTTGAGCCAGAATTGAATGTCACAAATCAACTATTGATGATATTTAATTAATCTGTATGAGAACATATATGTGAGTCACTTTGCTAGTTTAGTGAAATTTGTGGTGAAACCAGCATGAAAAGGATAGTCAAACGTGATGGTTGGATTGGGGGGGGGGGGAATAATTCTATGCATCTACTTATTGAATTAATTAATAAGACCTAAAATCATAATGACTTTAACTTGATTTTTCACTTCTTCCAGCAATTTTTTTGTTGACCAGCTCTTCTTCCAGCAATTAAAGACAGACTCCCATAAATAGGACATTTCCACATGTTACATATTTTCTAATAACAAATTGCAAGGAACAAAAAACCGGACCGGACACTGAACCGGTTAAGGTAGTGGTTCAAGGGTTAGTGGGTCAGACCGGGGTCAACTCGGATCAAACCGGTAATATTAAAATAATATAATTTAATTGAAGATAAAAAAATACAACAACAATAATAATTGCTGCCAACCAAAAAATTAAGAAATATAATAATAATTTAGTTGTAATAACATTAAGAATGTTTTATTAAATAGTATGTATTACACCCAAGCAGCTCTCCTCAATTTTCTTTTTAACCGGCCTTCCCTCCACTATCTTCAAAATTATAGTATTTATTTATATATAATTGATATATATATATATATGGATTAATGGGAGAAATGTCTGTTAAAAAAAATAAAGATGAGATGAATGAAAAATCACATCAATGCTTCGAAGAACGAAAAAGAAGGAAAAAAGTTGTGCTATAGCCTGCAAGTCCTCAGCGAATAGTCTGCCACTCTGCCCATACAATATCTTTTTCTAAAAAAAAACAAAACTCTCTGCAGTGTTTTGATTTGACTTAGAACTCCAGAACTTATGCCTTTCTTCCCTTCACTTATTTTTCCCCATCGATTCTCGTTCATCTTTCTCTCAAGTTTGAATATATTTTTGTTCTCCTCCTGAACTCCTCCTCCTAAGCAGAAACAGGCTGGACATGGCAGCAATGATGCTTGCAAAATCAACACTCCGACATATGCGCTCTGTGCTTCCAAGAAAAGTTTGGCAAGTTGCTTTCCTCTTCCCTACCTTTTTCTCCATTCTTCCTCCTTCTCGCCGCTGTCTCTTCCGCCCTCCTCCTCCTCTTTCTTTTTCTCCTCAAACTTCTAATTTCTGGTTTTTATTTTTAAAAAAAGAATGACCCAGTAACCCATCTAACCCAACGAGTTGACCGGGTTATTACCGAGTCACTACGGTTCGAACCGGTTCATACCGGTTCAAAAATTTTCCGGTTCATAGCATGAACCAGACCGGACAAGTGGCCGGTTCACCGGTTTCCGGTCTGAACCGGCCGGTCCGATCCGGTTTTTTGAACATTGACAAATTGTGAACCGTTTTCGACGTGACGTATATACATAAAAGATAAAATCAAAATTAAAGTATATATGATATCAAAATATCATGTTTGGCTGGTCAAATAAATGTTTGTGTTTGGTTCTGGGGAATAGAAAATAAAAAATTACGGTTGAAAAGCCGCTTTGATTAAGAGTAAGTGGGGAGGAAAAGTTTTACTTTTTGAGAAGTACTGAAATTCATCTTGTTAGGGTGGCTGGGAGTCTTAAGTTCTCGAAGATTAAGACTCACATGCAAGAAGAAGTTGAATCTCAAGGTGAAAATAATAAACTTTAAAAAACATGCATTTAAGATCTTAATATGTTTAACTGTAAAATTATTAGGCTTCAATGATGATTTTTTGTAATAATCATGAATTTTTTGAAAATTAAACTTAATATGTTAGCATTTGAAAATATTTTATTAACATTTAAGATCTTAATATCATCATTTTTTTTAAAAATCAGGGTTAAATGACTAAAAATATACTTTTTAAAGTTAAAAGACTAAATTAAAATCTTATATAAAGTTAAAGGACTAAATGTATACTTTAACCTACTATAAAATATCATCAAACTTTAATTCCACCTATTAATATTATTATTTTAATGAATGAAGGATAACATGATATAAAAATAAGAAATATTTTACTAAAATTGAAATGGATTTTAATTTGAGCCAGAATTGAATGTCACAAATCAACTATTGATGATATTTAATTAATCTGTATGAGAACATACATGTGAGTCACTTTCCTATAATTGATTACAAGTTATTCCTCCGGTCCTTAATATAAGACCCAATTGTTGAGTTAGTTTTAGTTCTAAATGTAAGACCCATTTCTCATATTTATCAATTTTCTCTAAATTACCCCTATAGAGACTCCCTCAACCATAATCAAGTAGTAGAAGAAGATTAGGTATAAAGAAAGATGATTATGATATTTTAAGAAAAACATGTGACATTTCTTATAATTAACTAACTTAACTAACATCATTAATATAATCAAATTAGTTAAATGGGTCTTATATTAAGGACCGGAGGAGTATCAAGTCCAAAAAATACTACTTGTGCACATTCTTATAATTTTATTTATAAGTCATTTACAGTATGTTTTATTAAAATTAAAAAAAATTTCATTAACCTTGTTTTAAAATTTATTTTTTTAAAATTTTACTCCTATTTAATATATATACTTTTTTTTTTTAATGAAATAACAGTTTACACCACAATAGCTCTAATTTATAATTAGGACTGGATGGAGGAGTGACTTGGCTTCATCATTGTCGCACCATTTGGGCGGTTGGCACATCCCCATTCCGTGCGTATCTATGACCTTTTTGTCTTTTTGATAACATAAATGTGGGGTTTCCACTTTCCAGTACTGGCCAAGACTATCATGGCCTGAGAGGAATGGCTCCTCGGATATGGCCCTTGTGGCCTTGAACATATTGGAAATCTAAATATCCCGATCAGAATGAAACTAGAAATGGGGCATATAATTGGGTGTTGAGATATATTTGAGTTTTGAACAAGTCATTGAATGGGATTTTCCTAGTATTATTGCCAAAGTTAGGGAAGAACTACTTCACTCAACTCTGCAGCTTACATGTAGTCATGAGATGCACTGGGTGAGGGTGAGCCATAGGATTTATGTAGTTCAGGGCTTTTAATTTGGGAAAAATATGAGGCTTGCAATATATGACATCCAATGAAATGAACTCGAAATAAAACCGGTACCATCAAAGATTTTTCATTAGATTATCATTGGCAAGTTTTATTGGGAAAGCAAGTTCCAGCAGTAGAACAAATAGGCACAGGGTGTCTAGTTTGTATTCAAGAAAATAGGAGAGGTGTAAAAACTGATGCCCCCCCCCCCCAAAAAAAACCTAATTATACGACATTTTTGCAGTCAAAAATGAAAAAAAAAAAAAAAAAAAACCAGTAGCTTCACTGATGCCCGAACTACTTGAATTTTCATCCACAATCAAGCAGCAGTTGAAATTTATGGATCTCATAAGAAACTCACGGCCGAACTTGTTCTTAAGGCCTTTGTAGAAGCTTCACTACTCAAGTTTCACCTCTCTCTTTGGAGGATCCAACTGCAAATAAGTATAAGGCTCTGTTGGTTCTTCCCTGCAATTGCCAAACATGTCATAAGCAGTGCCATAAAGCGAAAAACATGATGTAAATGGAAAAACTTCATGGCAAAGACAAGAAACGTAAATATGAATTGAAATGTGAAGGGCAGTCTCAGCCCTTCAAGCTAGCACTGCAAGTTTCAAGAGTTCTAGACTTCTAGTTACTATTAATTGAGCAATTAGCAGATGGCACATACTATATAACACAAGCACACGTTACATATCACTAGTGATAGGTTTCTGTGATTTGAATGTTCAGGTAATTTACAAAGTCAATAGTATAGCACAAAAGGATGTGCTAAAGGTTATATTTGTCTGGGGGGGGGGGGATCTTACCCAGGTTTTGAGCGCATGCACCGCCAGAAGAGCTTGAAAGGTCCGGGAACTGTCTTGAATGGGTTTCCCTCAAAGCAAGCCTAACGAATAAGCAAATGAAATGAGCTCTGTCTTAGGCTTGAAACTCACATGGCAATAAGGAGGTTGCGTAAAACAAATAAAGAAGATATGAGAAAACTTGTAAAATCAAAGAGAACATGCAGAAATTGACACATACTTCAAGCCAAGAGAAAAAATTAATCAAAACTACATCCAAAGGGATCAGTTCGGATTTCAGATGGGGATGATTTTTCTCTTAATTAACCCGCCATAATTTTATCTAGGGAGCAATCCAGGAGTAAAATTCTATACGCACCAAACCAATGCCAGGAGCGTGGCCTTAAAGATTAACTAGGATTTATTAGGAGGTATAAGCCCTGGCTAAGTAGCTAACCAAAGTCAAATGCATCTGACACTAATTTTGAATCCCATATGTGAATTCTTTTTGTTTCTTTCCCAAGCAAGCTGTTTACCATCTTCACTCTATCATGTTTTGGTCTCTGCTCTATTTCACTGCAAATGCACATCTAATGATCTATTTGGGTAAGGGGAAAGGGAGGCATTCCCTTCCTGCCCCCTTCTCTCCCATAGACCTTGTGGACACAGGATCTATCATCATCTCATTGCGAAAATGCAGACTGCAAAATAAGTCAATCAAGCCCCAAAACAAAAATTTCGTTGCATAGTTTACAAGGACTATTGCGAGAGACAAAGATCAATAAGAACACCATCAGCCCAGCGGAAACTATTCGTTCGTTTCCCATAATCTGCTATGTGAAATTCACTCAAATGTAAATGCGAGAGCTAGTGATGAGACATTAAAACATAACGTCCCCAAAACCAAAAATCAGTAAAAAGCAAATCCAGTAAACTTGAAAATTAAAAGGAAAATGCAAATCCCAATTGTATCATTAGCGATATAAAAGCACTGAATCAATCGAATAAAGAAAGAACGTGAAGCATGGAGAAAGGGTTTTGTAAATCGTACCTGAACGACATCCTCAGCTCGGTCGTTGCATCGGTGAGCCTTAGGTTGACGATGGTTTCCTTCTGAAACTCCCCATGGACTCTCTCTCCTTGGGACGGGCCTCGTCTCTGTCTCGCTCATCTTCCCCTTTCTTCTGCTTCGCTTTCTTTCTTCAACTGCGAGTGGGAACCGCAGTGTTCATGCTGTGAATCCGCTTGGGGGATTCAGATCGCGGTCCGCTGACCTCCGTAACGGTGTCGTTTCATTCTTCCTTCCGAGGACATTAAAAAATACAAAAGGAAGCAAAGTATGGGTCGGGCACCTCAACATGACATATGAACCCCAATGCGGAAATCGTGGCCATTGAACTAGAAAAAGGGTGGGCCGAGCCCAGGATAAAGGTGGGCCCATCGGGGCTCCGGTCCAGAAGTCCTGATACTTTAGATTTAACTATTTCTTTAGCTCAAATTCAAATGACCGAAAATAAATGTTTAAAAGATTAAAAGAAAATATTTTAGATTTCAAATTAATTAATAAAAATACAAGTCTTGAAAGAAGAAATATACATTTTAAAAACATTGAAAACCGGAAATTAAATACTATTTCAGGTTAAAAAAAAAAAACAAAGAAAGAAAACGTTTCCAACCAATTGCTAGTTTGAAGTTGTAGGAGGAGACAAAAAGAGTAACGGCTATAATTGTTTATTGAGTCAGAGATGACAAGTGAGTTTGGGTAAGAAGAGAAAGATCAAAGAGGCCTTGAAGAGGATGGAGAAGTAATGAGAGGATTTTTTTTTTTTTTAATTTAGAGGCATATGTACTAATACCTCGTCACAAGTGGGATTGTTGAATTTGCGGGGGTGACTTTTTACTTAGAAGAATAGTTTACGAGGTCATCAGCTAGGAGAAGAAGGGTTTTAGAAGGCAAGGAAGGAGAATTAATGTGTTGGAGCAGAGAAATGCGTTATAATTTTTCAAAATACCAGCACTTCTTAAATCTGTAATTTCATCAGTAGGATGTTTTGAGAAGTTGTTTTTTTTCTTTTGTTGTTTCTTGTAACTCTGTTGAGTTTAGTACACAGTTTTTCACTTGAAGAAGAAGAAGAAGAACAAAAGTGGTATGAATAGCAAAACACAGATTTTGTCCAAGCAAAATAGGAATCTTCTGAATTGTGAGGTACCACATTATTAAATTATTTCTCCTGGTTTTCAGGCTGCTCATGCAATAAAGCGTAGCAGACAGTAGGTAAAAATTGGGACCTGTTCTTTAAGATTCTCTATGTCCCTCTCCACACCCAAACAGTGTCTCAAACTCAAAGTGAGCATCTCAGTCCAAAAAAAAAACAGAAAAAAACCTCAAAGTGAGCATCTTTTTCATTGAGCAAGCAACAATAATGTGTGCCTGCTTCTTAAATATCAGAACCGACACTTCTGCTTCTCCTTCCCTTCCTTCCCAAAGGCTGCTCCACACAGTAACACACTCCTCCCAGTTCGACAGAGACAACACTTTACTTGAGACTTGGAAAGAAGGACACTTGACAGCTTTTTCCTTAACCTCACAAAAATCAAACACAACAGTCCAAACTTTAATCCCATCTCATCATTCCCCTTGCAACCAGCCATGAACCATCACAGTACTGTATCTTTATGCCAATTTTGCAAGATTTCACTTCGTTTGTAAACTATTCGTGGATAATTCAAAACCCAGCCACAGCTGGAGGCCAATATTAGGACTTAGGAGGACTTACTAAAAGTTGTGTATTTTATAATCAAGTCATACTTTTTAGTGTGCTCTATATAGCAGATAAATATCTTTATATACAGTCTGACCCAAAAAAAAATCTTTATACACAGATGATGCCTGACAAGAAAATGACCTATGAATATATCTTAATGAGATAAAGATTCAGTATCCAAAGATGGATTGAGTCAAGCATTTCATAAAAATATTAAGTTTTGAAGGTTACAACAAGAAGAAAAAGGAGTAGATGACAAAATTAGTAATTAAAGCGAACAGCGTGACTTCTAGATGCAGCCATGATGATGAGAAGCTTGAATACTGAGTTGGCTTCATTTCTGCAGGGTCCTCTGGAGGTTCATCAGTTAAGGATTTTCCATTTCCGGGTTTTGAGCTTAAACAAGCAGGGATTTCCAAGTATGATGAGAGATTCTCCTTGTTTGGCTGATGGCTTATGCATAGCTCACTGTTTCCTCTTATATCCAACCTTTCGCCAAGCTTCTCAATGAAATCATCAGGAAGTTCTATGACTCCACTCAGCTTGTTGTGGCTCAAATTTAGCTGATCCAAGTTTAAGAGTGATCCTAAACTTGGAGGAACCGGTCCACTGAGACTATTGTTATCTAAGGAGAGAGCAGTTAGGTTCTTCAGGGTAGAAAAACAATTGGGTATGCGGCCAATCAAACCACACCCTGAGAAACTCACTGATTTGAGGTTTTTAAGGTTGCCTATGAACAAGGGTATCCTTGCTTTTATGGGGTTACCATCAATGACAAAATATTCTAAAACCTCTAAACTGGATAGCGTCTCCGGAATAGGCCCGCTTAGAAAATTATGACTCAGATCAAGCAATACTAACCTCTTGAGTTTTCCCAAGTCGGAAGGTACTTCACCAGTAAGCCTGTTAGAATTCAAATCAATCTTCTGCAGATCTTGAAGTTTCCCAAGAGAAGAAGGCAAGTTCCCTTCAATCTCATTCCCACTCAGGTCCAAGATAGTCATACTCTTCAAATTACCAATGTCCTTAGGGATTGGACCACTTAAGTTATTGTAACTGAGGTCAAGTTGCTCTAAACAAACCAACCCACCAATCTGTGGTGGGATTTGACCCTGTAGGTTGTTTTGGGACAAACTCAAGACTCCAAGTCTGGCAGCCTGTCCCAAACTTGGAGGCAACTCTCCGGAGAGGGATGGGTTAGATTGCAAAGCTAGGTGTTCCAAGGAAGAGAGAGATCTAAAAAGTGTAGCGGGTAGTGTGACTGGGGAAGACACAAAGCAATTGAAAATTGAAAGGGTTTTCAAATAAGGTAGTTTCAGCAACGACACAGATAGGTAAGCAGAAGATTTACAAGGTGGAGATACTATATCAGGACCAACGTGGATCTCTGTGACGTGAAATACTTGCGGGTCATCATCACTAACCTCGCATTTCACACCAGGCCATGGAGTGTCCGTACAAGGTTGTGGATGCTCTTGGACCCAGTCGGGGTCCTCTAGAAGAGCACCCATCACTTGCAACAGTCCCAGTAATTCCTCTTCTTCCATTGCCACTTCATTTTTCAGGACACTGACCCCCATTGCCATCGCTTCACCAGTAAACAAAAGGAGCCCAACAAGAAATAGGTGCACAGAAGCCATTTGAGAGAATGCCATACCGCAAGGTGGTTCAAGTTGAGAGTTTTGGAGATTATGGAGACAACAACAGCCCAGGTTCTCATGAGCTTTATGGAATGTCGCTGATGGCAAAGGAGAAGAACGTGAAGCGAAGTACTTTGTGTCATTGTTTGTGTCAGCGTGAATGCTGCGAAGAGAGACCAAAGCTGTCGCGTTTGCTTCCCACAAATTGCAATTTTGAGAGTGACAGTGTGAGTTTGTGAGGGAAGGCGAGAGAATCCGGGGAAAGAGACAATGGTCATAATAAGCCAATACTGTAACAATTTAATATGGATTGTCATTTGTCAGGCAGTTCAATTTTCAATTAGTCGATCATCATTAAGCTGGTTCAATCTTTTTCTTATTAAACAAGTGTCTTCGTATATTCTTGCTATATATTCAAGGCTTTGACCTTGTTATGTAGCTTCAAGATTTATACTCCGTCTTTAATATAAGACCCATTTAATTAATTTGATTAGATTAAGAAAGTTAGGTAAGTTAGTTAATTATAAGAAAAATAATACATTTTTCTTAAAACACCATAATCGTCTTTCTTAATACCCAATTTTCTTCTTCTATTTGATTATGGTTAAGGGAGTATCCATAGGGGTAATTTAGAGAAAATTGATAAATATGAGAAATGAGTCTTATATTACGGATCAAAACCAATTGAAGAATTAGATCCTATATTAAGGGCCGGAAGAGTATTATCAATCTCCTGCATTTCAAAAAAGACTCATCCTCATTCATCCATCCCCACCATAGCACACGTTATTTAGCATGGCATTATTAGAATATTTTCAACCTACTTTAGGATTGAGACTTATTTTTGTTAAGTCGGAGCGTTAAAGTTAATTGATATTTGAACTTCTGCTTTCTTCTGATGAAATTAATTACCATCCTAATTAACAGTTTGTTAGTTTTTTGCCTTTTTTTCTTAGTTATTTAAAGCAGTTTATGTTCTTATTATCTTATTGTAACTTCTTTTCTTACACATCGTTTTATTTGTTTTTCCAAAAACAATAATTAATTATTTAAAAGTGACTAGTTATTGTCAATTTTAAGACAAATAAAAATTGCAAATGCGTTTTTGAATTGATTAAACGTACTTAAAATATATTCTTTTATTTTGCAGTTCGAATGTAATGCCATTCATGTTGACAATGTTGATTATTCAAGTGATATTGGGTTTTATGAGTTTGATTTGTTCATAAAAATCCGAATGTGTTTAATTTACGCCGGTTACGGCCTTTCAATTAATCAACAGGCAGCTTCAGATAGCTCCTCGGACCTGTTCATCTCCTTAAACACATCACCGGGTACTTTACCCAGAGACGCAGTAATATGATCATACCGCTCATGCTCAGACCCCAAAGCCTTCCCCACAAACCTCTCAGCATTATCGTACTAGCTCCTATATCTAATATAAAAATTAATTTAACATTTAATTTATTTTTTAATACAAAATTTTAATCTATTTTATTTTTCATATTTATTCATTTTTTTAAAATAGTTTGCACATGTTAAATATTTTATTTAATGATAGTTCTAGTTAATATATATTATTAATAAGGGTATTTTAGGAAATATAACATTTATTTATTATAAATAACTAATTTAGTTAATTTTCTTAATCCAAATTAATTAAATAGGTTTTATATTGAATATTGGATGTAGCATTTCTAATGCTTCAAGAGTTTGAATGTTGTTACATTCTCAAAACTCAAACTGAAAACCTTATACTCTATTAAGCTAATTGAATACTACCTTCAATCCTAAATATAAGAACTAATTGATTAATTTGAATAGAGTAGGAAAATAAGTTAAGTTGGTTATTTGTAATAAATAGGTATTGTCTTTTTTAAAACATTCTTGCTAATCAAGTTATTAGCCAGAAGTCTAGAATTACTATTATTAGAAAAACTATCTTAAAAAAATAAATAAATATAAAAGACAAAATAAATTGGGTTCTCATATTTAGCATCACAATAAAAATCAAATAAGGAGCAGAGATAGTATTAAATAGGTCTTTCTTTTTCCATCAAGTTCTTTAGAAAATATAGAATATTACTTCTTTTGTTAACAAGACTGTTGTTGTAATTAATTAAAACAAAAAATTATAAATAAAAGCTATTAAAATATAATATATCTTTTTTTTAACCAGGGAAATATAATACTCCTCCTGTCCTTAATATAAAACCCATTTAACTAATTTGATTAGATTAAGAAAGTTAGGTAAATTAGTTAATTATAAGAAAAGTGACACATTTTTCCTAAAACACCATAATCATCTTTCTTAATACCCTATCTCCCTTTTTTACTTGATTATGGTTGAGGGAGTATTCATAGGGATAATTTAGAGAAGATTGATAAATATGAGAAATGAGTCTTATGTTTAGGACCAAAAGCAACTCAAGAATTGGGTCCTATATTAAGGACCGGAGGAGTATATCTTTGTCACCAAACTTTTCCCCTCGTTCAAATTCTGCTTGTAATTTCTTTTTGTTTTTTGACCGGAACAATTAATTTCTAATAAACGAACACTTATAAAACATACTCACTTGTAATTTTTTATATTAATTAAAGTTTAATTTCCTCATATAGAATCAACGTATAAAATGGCAAACGGGACCGGTGGGCGGTAGCATCTTATCCACATAGAAACCAGAAATGAAGAGACAGCGGGGACTTTTGTTCTGGGAATGCAATGGGGAGCTGTAGTACCATGGCACGGTTGGCAATGGCACTGGCTTCTCTCCAAACTACACTCTCTCCCTTGTCCTCTTCTTCAACCTCCCTTCCTTCTCTTTCTCTCACTTCGACACGACGAGCCATTGCCTTTGGTTCCTGCGTTTCACTCGCTTCTTTGCTCCCTCTGTCCAATCCCAATTCAACGCCGCCCGCACTTGCTCAGCTTCTATCAGACGAGCTTCAGCAAGAAGAAGACCGTATCGTGCATCTCTTTCAGGTCGTTTTCACGTTCCCCTTTTTCTCTAATTCACTTAATTTTGCTAATATGTTAATACCATTGATTTAGCTTCATATACCTCGAAGTTGGAATCGTTTGAATTTTTTTGATGTTCAATGTATACTCTGTTTTGGATTTATTTGGTTTAAAGGGTTTCTGAAGAATTTTCTATGTTCAATTTTCATGTGTCGTTTCTGGATGATTTTGTCTGTATGATTGATAGTAGAAGTGGAAAACACTGTACGGTTTGAAGTTGTGTTTAGAGGCTATTCTTTCTAACATTCTATGGACATTGCTTTATTGAAACTAAAATTCGTATCACCACAGGAAACTTCACCGTCGGTTGTTTTTATTAAAGACATTGAATTGGCTAAAGTCCCCAAGACCTCTAACGAAGTCATGCTGAATGAGGATGAAGATGCAAAAGTTGAAGGAACTGGTTCAGGCTTCATTTGGGATAAATTTGGTCACATTGTAAGCACTCCTTGTTCTAGCATATTCAATCGATCTGAAATCTTAAATTCTTTAATTACAAAAGGTTAAAATTTTGTATCTAGATCCTTACCTTTTTCAAAAGAAATTAGTCCTTGGCATATGAAACTGTTAGTGGACATTAGATTTCGCAGGCATGACCTTTTAGATGTGACTGTGCTTATTTATCTTATTTATCAGTTGACTAATAGTGATTGGCCAGTCCTTTCCCCATTTAGATTACATGGAAGTGTTCATCGTTTATGATTACTTGATGAGGAATACTGGTTATGATGTTGATTCAATCCAGTGGAAAGATTAAAATATGTATACATTTGGGTTTGGGCTTTCTTTCTAACATATGTATACTTAGGTCCACGCTCAACAATAACATTTTGAAATATTATTTGTCACCCATGCCCCATGGAACTAATATGCATCATGTTAACAATTTTTAGACATCGTGATGAGGAACCAACGACTGTCCGTTATGCACATATTCTCTTTTATTTTGATTTCACATATTTGCTTCTAAACTATTAGAATTCATCAATTTTCTTTTCTGCTGAACAGGTTACTAATTACCATGTTGTTGCTAAATTGGCTACTGATACTGGTGGTTTACAACGTTGTAAGGTTTTCCCTTCTGCTGTTAATTACATCAAAGTTTTTTCTTGGAAAATGAAGGAAATGTGGATGTCTTTCCTCTTTGTTGTTATCTGGGGGGAAAAAGGAGCAGTCTAAACAGTATGAGTTACTTTGAACATTATTCTGCGTCTTCAATTTTATTTTATTGTGGCATCCCCTGAAGTTAAATAGACCAAATGTTATTTTAGAGTGACGGTAAGCCGGTAGAGAGTAGAGGGGAATAAGCATGGCAGTTGAAAGTAGAAGAATGACTCCTACTTATAGCAACTGAATTGATGATGATAATAGATGGTACGATGAATTGGGATATGGTAAGCCTAACACAATTAAACTAAATCATTTGATGATTACAATAATTAACTTGATCAAAATAAGGTAACGCGGGAGGCAATGTGAGACTAGTGTTTCTGTTTGAAACAACCACTTATATCCAATAGTCATCATTTTTGTCAGTAGCAATTCTTCTGAGCGGAAATTCACACCATACTATTGCTGCCTATAGGTGTTTCTAGTCGATGCCAGGGGGAATAACTTTGTCAGGGAAGGCAAGATAGTTGGGTTTGATCCCGCATTTGATCTGGCTGTTCTCAAGGTATACACTGACCCCACAATTCCTACATACTGAAACAAGTATCAAGAGATTTAGACGGAACTATACGGATCAATCCAATAACACTCATTTTCCACTTTCCCTTACTGCAAGCCCCTGTCTCTCAAAATTACTTGTTCCATGTGCAGGTCGATGTTGGTGGGTACGAAATAAAGCCTGCTATTCTTGGTGCATCTAAAGATATACATGTTGGTCAGAGCTGCTTCGCTATTGGGAATCCTTATGGCTATGAGAACACTCTGACCACAGGGGTAATTTTCAGAAATTTAAAGTAAATGTGATATGATGTAATGAGAATTTCCCTATGCTGTAGTGAACTTTACCTTATCATGTACATATTGGGAAAAAAGAATCATAGATTCCTGGATGAAATTTCAAGAAATACTATTTATTTTCTATTTAAAGTTGCTTCCATGTTGAACTGAAGTTTCTCACATAGAACATATACTGTTGGTCCTTTTGTAAAATGCTTATTTGACTTTGTTATTGAAGGATGATGATGTCAACCGGAAAAAAAAAACAAACAAACAAAAAACAAAAAGATATAATGATCACATCACCCTCAATCTTCAAGATTGATGTGTATTGGCTGATGTAAATGCTTCAGGTCATCAGTGGTTTAGGTCGGGAGATTCCTGCACCAAATGGGGGAGCTATCAAGGGAGCTATTCAAACCGATGCAGCTATTAACTCTGGTAACCTTACGTTCGATTGAAGTTCGTTGTGTTAGAACCCCAAGCCTTCTATTCTACTCTTAGTAATTTGTTTTTTTTTTTTTTTAAAAAAAAAAGGTTAGTAATGGGGAGAAACGATACCTTGCTCCCTAGCATGTTGGACAAATTAAAGGGCAATCAATTCTACCAAATTTTCCCTGCACTAGGACTTGTAGTATTTGAAACTAGGTAACACTAGCATCCCAAGAGTTCATAATCTTATAGCTAAAAGGAGGTTCAACTGTGGCCCCATTTGTTATTTTGCGCCTATTTGAATCTCAGCCCCCTTTTTTGTTCTATCATGAACACTGTTATGTAATTACGTGCTTAGTTTCAGATAGGAATGCCGTCTTCTTCTTCTTTCTTATGCAAAAGTTATTCAAGATATAGAGAATCACGATAATTCCCGTTTCCTGACTCGATGACTCTTATGTGACATTATCGTGAGTTTACAACCTCAAATTTCAGCGATGACATGGCTTTCAGAATTTGGGTTCCTTGAATATTTGTCGGGACTAGCTAGGTATCATGGTCCGATGTTTAATGACATGAATTCGTGGATCTGAACAGGGAATTCTGGTGGACCATTGATTGATTCGCACGGTCATGTTATTGGAGTAAATACAGCAACATTTACTAGAAAAGGTATGAAAAATATTTCCTAGTTAATCCTGTTAAGATTACTTTCATAATGTTGCCTTTTCAGAAGTGTAAATAAATATTTTTCCCCCTTGTTTATTAGAATATGGGATAAATTTCTTCTTATGAAATTTGGTTAAATTATATTTAGCTAGTAACCCTTGTGCATAATATGAAATAGAAAGAATGGATTGCACCAATCATGATCCGTGAATAAATAATGCGACTTGATATAAGCTTTTTAATGAACATATATTTGTAAATGAACAATAAGGATTTGGCAATCTGCTGATGACCGATAGGGAAACTTGTTTCTGTAGCGTATTTGATGCCATCCTTGGTTGGCCAATGTGGTGTGTTTGTGTGAGTGAACCGTGAGGTGCATTTATGGAGTGACAGATTAGAAAGGCTAAAATATGCTTTGAATTTAAACCTTAAGAGTAGAACTAGTGGGTTAATGAACATGAAGAATAGTTGAAGTTGATGATGTTGCTTTTCAGGGACTGGAGTATCGTCTGGTGTTAACTTTGCAATACCCATTGACACAGTTCTCAGAAGCGTGCCGTACCTCATTGTGTATGGAACACCATATACTAACAGGTTTTGATAACCTTGGTTTTTGGGCTAATGTTCATCAAGTCAAATCCCATGCCTGTATTATCTTCTTCACTTATTTTTCTTTTGCCAGAACCATGCCTGTATTATCTGTGGCCAATAGTTAGTGTTTTGGTTTATCAATAGGTCACATCACATGTCCTTGAGATTTCCTTAAACTTCTAGAGTCGGAAACCGTGTCGGGTCTTCTGGAGGTTTGAATACGAAATTTGACATCTTTTATATAAACATTGACAATCGGTCTGCAATCACTTTGTCTGCCTATTACCGGTCGCATCAGAAATCTCTTACAGAATGTTGGTAGAATTTCAAAAGTAATGGGAGAATTATAATTAAGTATCACAAGAGGTAAATAATTATTAAAAGGTTTTAATAATAACTTGAACAGTTTGTAATGACAAATCCTACAGTGAAGAATAATAACTTCTGAGACTTGTTTCGTTATTTTTTTACTTCCACAGGACTTGATTGTAATTCTCCCAAAGTTAATTTAAACATAATGGTAAAAGACGATATTTTTCCCAATCCTTTTAACTACTTACTTTAAATTAAGAAAATGAGTTCCAATTAATCACAAGTTAGATCGCCCCACAGCGAAGCGTGAGTTAAAGAGGGCATTGAGGAACGGATGCCTGTAAACATATTTACATATGGAAAAACATAACAAGAAAAATCTATCCCACTTAAGTTTCTAGTAGGGAATTCCATTCCTAGTTGTTCTATAAGCCTATAATTTCTATGATCTGAATAGCCGCTTTAGAGGCAGGCCAAACAGAATGCAGCATGCTTAAAGCCTAACTAGGGGCATTTTAAAGCTAACGTATTTGCACTTATCATTATCTCCAAATACTACATGTTTTCACTTCCATCTGCTCCTCCAAATCAAAGCCCGGCAACTAATGAACTGGGTAACATTCTGACTTCCTCAGACAGGTAAAGTCCACAAAAATAAGGCAGCTGAGTTCAGTAAAGCACCAATTGTTTTCTTTTTCTTCTTCTGCTGAGGCGTTTTTGTAACTTCATTTCAATTAAACTATGACAGTGAATGTAGCATCGGTAAAAATATTGAGGAAGATAAACAGGATCCAAACATGCCATCAATCTTGACACGATGATCAAAACTTAAAACCCATGATTCAAACCTCCATTGCCATAAAAAAAAAAAAGGGCTTTATTGTTATGACTCTGATTTTGACCATATGAACAAGCTCTCCATGGTAACCCACTCTTTCCACACGGTCACATTGTGTGAAGATCTTTTAACTTCTTGGAGCAGAGAGCTTCTTTCACGAAAATGAAGAAAACAATGCATTCTTAGCTTCTTTTTCTCTCCATATGAAAATGAAGCAGAACGGGATGTTTTTAATGGCTTCATGCTCAATCATTCAGAATCACGCTTAGATTAGTCTAAAAAATATTTACATATGAGTGATTCCTAGTTTCAGAGGCAATGTAGATCAAATGATGCTCTTTGCTTCGAAATTAAGAATGTCATTTCCTGAACTTTCTAATGCGGGAGAGGGGAGAATAAAGCTTGTCCATCTCCTTTTATTGAAAGGGGCAAATTCCCAGTCCCTTGCACAAAAACTTGGTAAGCATGTGAACCAAACGGGAAGAAAGTCTGTACAAATAAAATCTTCTACATAATCAATTCATAGTAATTAAACAATGGGCCTTCCTTCACAATTGAAACCAGTGAAGAACCGCAATCATATCGTATCTGATGTCAAATTCGTTCAATGGATTGAAACCTAATCAACTGCTAAAATCCTAGATAATAAACAATACAACATTCACAAACCACTAAAACCTATAATCAATTCATAATCCTCAATCCAGAAATAGCGTAAACTGAAAAGGTACTCACTTTGCATTGAGTGATAGCAGTGACAACTGTTCGTCCACTGAACAATCCACATGGCAAGATGTGCGACATGAAGAAGGGATAAGAATAAGGCCAAGGCACCTCTGCTCCATCGGAGAAGGCGAGGATCGCCGTGTGCTGCGATACTCCACGGCGTCCTGGAGAATAATGTTCCCTTGCTTGTCCATACAGTAGAATCCACCCAAGAAGAACCTCCCATCTTTAATGCCTACAAGCATTCGACGGAACAGAAGCTTCTTTACCCGATTGACCCGATCCGAACTGATTTGGCGAGGACCGTCTGAGCTATTCTCCTGAATCCCCATCGAAGGTTGCTGTGTTTCTCGCTCCATCGTTTAGAGCTGGAACGGAGACCTCCCGCCAAAAACAGCGTAAAGTTTAGGTCTGACACCCTAGCAAGCTCTTGACGCAGGGATGGCCGTGTCCGCCGCGATGAATGTAAGAGAGAAATAAGTTGAGAATTGTTGTTTTTCTCCCATAATGTTTGAAAGTTAGGATCTTTTTATACGAGGTTAAGGTGTTATTTTAACACCTCAAAATATTTTTTAGGTATCCCCCAACACTCTAAAGCATTTTATACTGCATTCATTTAAAATATTTTTTTAGAGGCATTCAATATCCTAAAATATTTTTTTACCTTGATATTGAATATATCAAAAAATATTTTTACATATTGGGCGCACTTAAAATAATATTTTAAAATACTGGATACACTAAAAAATATTTTACAATTGACGCACTTAAAAAAATACTTCAAGTGCTAAATGTACACAAAATACTTTAGATTGCTGGATGTACATGAGAAAATGTTTTGGGATGCTGGATGCACCTTAACCTTTTTATATAAAAATCATTATAATTTTTGACAAAATAAAAAATTTTATTATAAAATTAAACTTCAAAAGAAATGGACTTATAAATTGTTTGGCTGATTAGGCTTTTAATGTACTATTTTTTTAAATTCAAGGTATTCTATTATAAGTCATATTTTAGGAGGAGCTTTTGTTCCAAAACACAAGTCATTTTGCTAATTCCCTAGAGCAATGATTCATTTTTTTTGGTGCAAAAAACTATATAAGATTTAGGGTGTGTTTGGATGAAATCAAACCGTGGTTTGGAAAAGTGATTCTGGAGAATAGATTCTGGGGAGAATAGATTCTGTGAAAAATAGATTTTGTAAAAAAGTGATTCTGAGAAGTGAGAGTGTTTGGATAGTTGTTATCAGAAGCACTTTTTATATATACAAATTACTAAAAAAAGACATAAGTTAATATGATAATTACAAAAAAAATAAATTCTATGATATATTTTAATTTGAAGGAATAAAATTGTTAATAATATATTTTTTACCAACATAATTAATAATACATAAGATAATATAATTAATAAATAATTAATATGTATATATATTTATAAAATATAAGATTGAATATGTTTATAAAAAAATATATTTATAAAAAAATAACAAGATGCATATCATATAGGCTCTCTCCCTTTTTTCTCCAAAGCAAAAAAATTTTGTTTTTTCCAAAACTATGGTTTTGGTTTTAAGGGGGGTGTTTGGGTGATCTATTTCCCAAACCATGGTTTGGGTCTCCAAACCATGGTTTGGAGTGTTACCCAAACACACCCTTAGAAATTATGGGACCCGAAATTTATAGTGAAGTGTGAGTCAAATATATTCGATAAGAATAAATTTTTAAAAAAATAATACAAAGATTTTTCCCGTATAACTTCAAACTTCTAATATTTTTGTCTTATTTATGTATGAGGTCGTTATACAAGAATCATAATGAGGAATGGAGTTTACTTGTTATTAGAATAACTTTTGGGATTTTATTTTCCGGAGTATAAAAAAAAAAAATTCTTGTGTTTTAAACTAATACGAAAACACCCGATAGAAAACTAATATAAAAACAAATTTATAATTTATGATGCCAACCAAAACCGGAAAAAAAAAAAAAACAAAAAACAAAAGTTCAATGCCAGTGATGGTTCGAGACTCGAGATATACTGATCTCTCACTGGTCACCCTCTGCTGGCCAAGAGAAAAACCAGTCACTACTCTTTTTTTTTCATATCAATAACTTTAATCAAGTTTTCAATAAAAAATATTATTATTTTTAAATTTAATAATAAATAGTACTAATTAAAATTAGTTCTGCATTATTTTCATTTGCATTTTACCCTTTTTAGTTCATATTTTTTTCTGAATTTTAGCCTGTTACTATTTTTCACTTTTTCTTCAGCCAATTAAATACAGTTTTGTATGAGATAAAATTTGAAAAATAAATTGTATTTGTAAATTAATATTTTAAGTGATTTTGCCCGAGAGTAATTAATTTTGTTTTCTATAGCACAGAAGTCACTGGAGGCGGGTACGTACGGATTGAGTTCGAGAGCCCAGAAAACTATTTGCCCCGAGTTGCTGGATGCCCAGTTGTTCATGATCCGGACAGCGCGCTACCGCGAATCCGAGGAAGCTCGCCAAGAAAGCAGCTTAGTCGCTGCCTTTCTCTCTCCTTCACTTCAGAATTAGGGTTTTGATTGGCGTCTTTCCTTCTCTCTAAATCGTCTGGTATGCAGCACTAGGGCTTTCGTTTCTTCTTTCTGGTCTCTCCTCCCTGTTTGAATTGAACTCTTGTTTGTTTGGTTTTCGTAAAGTTTGTTTTTTTCCCCCTCGTACAATTGTCATATTAATTTGCTGCATTTTTCTGTGTCGGGACGACTTGTTTCTTCATCTTCCGTTTCATCTTTCTCCGTTGGATAATTAAGACAGAAGATCAGCGGAAGAGCAAAATATACGTTTCTTTTGTCCAGAAAACCACTTTGTTCCAATCTTCTAGGGCGGTTGCAGTTGTTATTCAGTTGCTCCAATCTCTGTGAAGTCATCACTGTGGCTGAGATGTTTAACGGTTGCTCCCCCCCCCCCCCAAACAAAAAAAAATTGTCACTTTCCGAAATAGTTATTTCATTTGTTTGAAGTATCGTGCGGTAGACCGTGTAGAAGACAGGATATAGTATTGCTGAGGGCTGAGAGCCTTTTGTTTGATTTTTGGGGTCACATTAGTGCCTCTTTTGGGATAACTATATAAGTTTGTTTAGTAGAGCTATTTCAGTTTAATAGCTTATTCTGGCAAAATAAAGTGGTGAAATAAGTAATGTTGTAAAGTCCAATCACTCACCGTGCACTTCATATCCATTTTAATCTCTTCACCTTGGATTGGCAGAGATGTTACACTTGGTATGAAATTGCAGATTATGGTTGCCTTAGTAATTGCAGGAAAATATAGAGATGCCATGGAAATATTGCAAACTGCAATCACTGACTGACGTGGTTGGGAAATTCAATCCACCACAATGATGATATTGTAGTTACTGATTAGAATTCAAATCAATAAACAAGCATATGATTTTGTAATTATTGATATATCTAAAAGTATGTTTTGCTTTCAGGTGTCACGTGAATACATAGCAATGGGTGAGACAGGGAAACGATTTCGTTCGCATAGAGACCATAATGGGGATGCTAAGAATCAAAAGAGACGTTTGAACCACAATAATGGAAAGGGCAATGATGAATTGGTTGTTTATAGGATACTTTGTCCCGATGGAGTTATTGGAAGTGTTATTGGCAAGGGTGGAAAAGTGATAAATGCAATAAGGCAGGAGACTAATGCAATAGTCAAGGTTGTTGATCCATTTCCAGGTGCCAAGGATCGAGTTATAACAATTTACTCCTATATTAAGGAGAAGGAAGACATTGAGGTTGATGATGAGTTCAGCAACAGGGTGCCTTTATGTGCTGCCCAAGATGCTCTTCTCAAAGTTCATGCTGCTATTGCAAAATTTGTGGCAAGTGTTGGAGATTCTGAAAAGAAGCATAAGGATAAGGAAGAATGCCAAATCCTTGTTCCATCAAGCCAATCTGCGAATATCATTGGTAAGGCTGGGTCTACAATTAATAAATTGAGAAATAAGACAAGGACAATGATCAAGGTCACGCCCAAGGATGCAACTGACCCAACACACTCATGTGCCATGGATTTCGACAATTTTGTGATGGTTAGTCATTAATACAATGAAACAAGCTATTGAGAAGTTTGCTGCATTAATTTATCATCACTTTTGGTTATTAAACTGGCATCTATGTTCATCTACAAACATAAACCAACTACAATGCCTTGTAGGGTGACATTAGTACTTTAGTTACATTAAAGTCTGCCCCCCCACCCAAAAAAAAAAAATAAATAAATAAATAATTAGAAACTCCAGGATTTGTGATTATTTGTGCTTTCTTACATTGATCTTTAGCTGCAAATTAGAAGCTGGGGTTTCACATTTGTGAAACATAGCCTTTGTATGAAGGAAATTAATTTATGCTTGGTAAGATGATCAGATGAACCTGACTCTCCTAATGGGCGTATTAAGGGGGCAGGTCTGCTTTTCTTGTTTATTTCCTTGTTATATGATGTTGCAAAAAGTCTTCTCTTGGAAGCAATATATCATGCTGTGAATGAGGATAAATGTTGAATTAAATAGTAGTGGTCTCGTTGTATGAAATTAAAATCCTTAATATTTATGATTAAAGATTAAACTGCATGATATGCTGGAGATGAATCATGAATAAACACAGGAAACAAATTTTTGGGGTAAAAGAATAATGAAGCTGAATTTCTACTCTATGTACTTCCTTAGAAAAAACACCTATCAAGACACTATCGTGTTTATTTTTTTTTCCCCCATTTATGTGATTGATATTTTTTCCTTTTTTGTTTTCATTTCAATGTAAGGGTTTTCCTTTTGCCAGCAAAGTGGTACAAGTAATGCATAAATAAGCGCATCCTCTATTGTTCCTTCTTTAATTCTTTGACTGTAATTTTATCATCAATTCCTCGTTCTCAGTCTTGAGTTTAATGATCTTTTTCGTTTTTTTTTTTTGGGAAAATTAATTCTTTCTTATTATGTTTTGTTAATAGATATCTGGTGAGTCAGAGGCCGTGAAAAAAGCACTCTATGCTGTTTCTGCTATTATGTACAAGTTCTCTCCTAAGGAGGACATTCCTCTTGACACAAATGTACCTGAAGTCCCTCCTAGTATAATTATTCCCTCTGACGTCCCTATTTATCCACCTGGTGGATTATATCCAGCTTCAGATCCTATTATGCCACCCAGATCTCTTCCTCCAATACTAGGTGCTACAAATTTACAAGATCTACAAGATCTACCGGCTTATGCGGATGCAGGAAGTACATGGTCATTATACTCATCTTCCCTTCCAATGGTTTCTGGTGTTGGTGGTGTTTCCCAATCTGAAGAATTAATGGTCAGAATGCTCTGTCCCTCTGACAAGATTGGGCGTGTCATTGGGAAGGGAGGGGGTACTATTAAAAGTATAAGGCACGCTAGTGGTGCTCATATTGAGATTGATGATTCCAAGGCTAAACATAATGATTGCTTGATTGTTATAACTGCCACAGAGGTGCGCTATTACTGCGTCTTTCATTTTCCCTGATGATGATTTCTTGCACATATAATAATTATGTGGCATGTCACACCTGAAGTCCATGATATATTCTATTCAATCGGTGGAGCCTTGAAATGTACTAGTCATCAATATGTTCTTTCATTATCATGGCTTATCTAAAATAATTTGTAAGAAAAATGACGTGTGGTGTTTGTAATTTGTAGTCACAAAGTGATGTTAAGTCCATGGCAGTTGAAGCTGTTCTAATGCTACAAGAAAAGATAAATGACGAAGATGATGCCACAGTTTCAATCCGGCTACTGGTTCCCTCGAAAGTCATAGGGTGTATCATTGGGAAAGGTGGTTCAATCATAAATGAAATTCGGAAGAGAACTAAGGCAGATGTTCGAATCTCAAAAGGTGATAAGCCTAAACTGGCAGACACGAATGATGAACTGATTGAGGTTTGGCTTCTTTTTTCATTACTTAACTTTCTTGTTTAATTTCACTATTTATTTCACTCGTTTTTTTGTTACTCTGCTTATTTTAATCGATGCTGTTCTTGATTTAGGTGTTTGGTAGTGTTGACTGTGTGAGAGACGCGCTAATACAGATTGTCTTAAGACTCAGAGACGATGTCCTGAGAGAAAGGGACACTGGCCATAATCCCTCTGTAGGTGGGGAGCCCTTATACTCAGGTGGCACTGGTCTTTCTGTTCCATCTGTGCTGCCTTCAGTTCCTTCTCTTGCTGCTACTACTCCACTGGCTTATGATCACAGGGGCGAAAGTGGAAGTGGACTTGGCATGCTTTCTTCGAGCAACCTGTATGGATATGGATCTTTGTCGGTATGTCTTTGTCTCTTTGACTTCCGTTCTTGCTTAGTCATTGCATTGTCATCAATACCCTATATCTTGATGGTACATGCGCAAGTATCGTGGTTGAATTGTTCGTACTGGTTTTGATTTGGAATTCTAGGATCATTTAAATCACAGAGAATAGTCCTGTTCATTTTATAATAAAATTTACAAATTACAAATGAGTTCATTTCATTAAAAAAAATTCATATTCTGCTCTCAATTTTTCCCTTTAGGAGCGTCATTATTCTAAGATGTACTTTATCTCTTTAGAACAAATCATAATTTTTGTGATGCTCTTCTTTGCCAAAAACCAAAAAAAAAAGGGGGATGGAAATTAAATCAAATTTAAGGAATAGTATATGCTCTCATTCCATCCTGGGCTGATTGTAGCATGGTATGAAGTTTCTCCTCCTAATTTTACTTTGCAGCCAAGTTGTGTCAGAATGTACTCATTGGAAATATTACCTTAAAATTATTCTTTAATAGAATTTTTATAGAAAATATTCGAAAACTACATATTCTTATCAAGCATTATGTTTGAACAAACACCAGATCATGACTTGTGAGCGCCACTGTTCATTGACGGGATGAAATGTCTCAAGAACGAATATTGATTACGAAGTTGACACAGATTATTTTTCCAATGCCTTTGCTAAATTGATTTTATTTCATTTGGGAAAAAAATAATTATAAAGCAATTCTCAAGTATGATAAAAGAAGCAAAGAACTTATGAATTTCTTCAGATCTTTTTACCATTTGTCATAAACGTGGCTTATAGTTTCTAATCATATTGTGGTGATTTCTTATCTTCTTTTGTTTGTGTCTGTAGCAGATGGGAGAAACTGGCTATGGATCTGTGTCCTCATTTGCCTCCAAGGTGTATGGAGGGTTAGTATATTTTGTTGGGCAAAATTCTTCAGTCTATTGTTTTACAACTAACTTAGTACTCCCCCCCCCCCCCCAAAAAAAAAAAAAATCAACTTGAGAACCATGAATCTAATCATTCTTCCGTTTGCCTGTCTACTATGCCCAGTTTGCCTCCACCATTAGCTTTGGAGATGTTGATTCCCGCAAATGCTGTTGGTAAAGTGTTAGGTAAAGGGGGGACAAATATAGCCAATATCAGAAAGGTTTGTTTATGCATTTAAATGTAGCATTCTTTTATTCAATTTGGGGATTTAATTGATGATTCAAAAGATGTATGTCAATTCATTACCTTAAATTGGTGTGTTCCTTGCTGCTGCATCTTATATTCTCGCTGTATGCCTTGGATTGTGATAGTCTAGAATGATTTAAATATCTTGAGCTTCAAAAACTTTCAATTCAATATCATGCTTTCTCGAATGTAGATCTTGGTGTTGACTGTTGAGATATGATATGATGTTATCTTGTCCTTTCTTTGTTTTTTGTGGGAAGGTAAATGTGATATCCAACTTTTCTCATACCAAGTCACATGTCTCTAGCGAAAATTAAGTTTTATGCTTATTTAAATAGAAAAGAACTAGTTATGGAGTCCCCTATTATTTATTTTATCAGTGATGTTTTACATTTTTGGTTGCTTAACAGTATTCTGTCAGATTTCATCTAATATGCTTTTGTCATCTCACTGATGATGGCCCTGTATGCAAACTATGTGAAATTGTTTCTTTTGTTCATATTTTATTTTTTGATTGGCACATATGAGATATGATAAATATACTTGTCCTGTATGGTGTCGAGTATTATTGTGGCAGCAGAAATCATTCTTAAACTTTAGCTTGGCTGGGAATATCAATATGTGTTACATTCACATTGTATAGATACGGATGAAAAAGTGTTGCAAAATATGCTTCATTTAATGTCTATTTCATGCCTAGTTGTTTCACTCCAGATTTCAGGGGCAATGATAGAGGTTTCTGACTCCAAATCTTCCCGAGGTGATCGTATTGCTCATATATCTGGCACACCTGAGCAGAAGCGTGCTGCCGAGAACTTGATCCAGGCATTTATAATGGCCACCTGAGTTGTTGGAGTGCTGTAGTTTGGAAGGTGGAATGATCAATTCTTGAAGCATCTCCTTGTTCCTCTCTTTAGTTCTCCTAGGTTGCTTCCTGAGAGAAAATATTCTCTGCATCAACCTGACCCCTGCCTCTTCTGAAACAGTAACTGTTCCTGAGGTTTCATCGCTGGTTCTGTATTTAGGAGTTGTAGTCCCCGTCTTTGTTCTTAATCTACCCCTCATCTGCATTTTCTCGTAGAAATTTTTAGGACCTTTCTTTCCATTCATACTGTTTTGTCTTGACTCATGCTGAGTCATCTTTGACTCCATTAAATGTTATCAAAGGATCCTAGTGATTGTTTTTATTTTGATTCTGGTGGTTAATGATTCATCCTCTTATTCTCTTATCCTTTTTTCTTTTATCTAAAACTTTCTTCCATGACAGTGCCAATGAATGCAGTCACTATCAATCTCCTCTTTCCAATATTCATAATTTATGCACTTGTACTTGTCAAAACCGGGGAAGTTGCCGTATGAATGTGGAGAAAATTTAGTTCTTCCCCCTTTGTTTCTGTTTTCCATGGCTTGTACTCCTGGAATACAGCTGACCATTTCAAACTGCATATAGCCTTTGTTCTGTTTGATTTTTTGGTCTTCTAGTTTACCTTCTTATAACACCATGTGTATTATCTTCTATATACCTATAATCTGAAAAGGTATTGAGATTGATTTTCTGAAACTTGTGTAAATTCTATCGTCTTTTGACGGATGCCGCTCAACTGGAGAAACTAGCCAGCTGCTGAGTCATATTGTGGGCTTGTGGGAAGTCTTCCCCTCTTTCAGTAATTCATTTTGGTTAAAAATGATTTCATCAGGTCCCATTAATTCAATCATGGTTGGCAGTTGAATTAGCATTTTGATCTCTAGCTCTGCTGCCTGTGATTATTGTCCTGTCAACAAATCATTATCTATATCCTCAAGTAAGCTTGAATAGCAGTTAATTGGATTCTTTTCATCAGTATAATACCCAGCTCAGCTTTTGTCAGTCTTAGCTAAACAGAAATTAAATTGGCTGGCAAATGCTGCTTTCATATCCTACATGCATCTTCAATTCTGATCTCGCTTTCTGACTAATGTGACTCTTCATTAGCAACTAGGTCAAATAATCTCGTTCCATTTAGGCGTGTTCCTCATGTCTATAATGCCATCTTCTGCTTAAACATTGTCTGTCTCATCCAAGGTTACCTGTATTTAACATCAGCACCAATGTGCTGAAAGCTTCTAATCCCGTTGATGTGACTGAACTCTTTCCGACCTTCTCTGTATTTTCGGTATTGTCAACTGGAAACTCTTTAGGGGTGATGTGGAAATTTTGCCTTACCTCACAAAGTGCAAAGTGCAAAGCGAAACATTCTCTTGTACTACTCATCTGAGTTTCTTGGGTATTATGGGAACTTAAGCTGTACTCTGATCTCAGCTCAGTATAATCGTGCTCACTATAATGTTTTCTTAGGTGTAAACTCTAAAATCATATAGGCCTAGATGAACCCTTCCTTAGTTTTGAATTATTGTATATTTTTGTTTACTCACTTCCCCATAGTTGATTCTGTATATATCCATTCTTTCCCTGTATTCTTTGATTTTTTTAGTCACTACTCTCATCAGTAAGGATATCAAAATTAGCTTGGTTTATCTTGAGGGATGTCATGTTACTTTTGTGAGGAAGATAGTTCACTAGGGGGTAGAAGCATGCTGAAACTTGATATGACAAATCACCTTGTGAGTTACCATGTTTAGTTTGTGCATTGAGTAGCACAAGTATTTGTAGTTGCAGATGTAGATTTGATTATCAGTATGTTCGGGTTTTAGCCTCTTCTACTTGCTCCTTTGGTAGCCTTACATCCAGCCTACCTGCTGTAAATACATCAATTATTGTAGTATATTATATATGAGACACAAGGAATTATGTATATACAATTTTATTTAATGAAAGAATGCCCATTTCAATAGGGTTTATTTACTTGGAATGTTTCGAACCTTTTGTGTTGTGATGAATTTATGTTCGAACAGTTTCTTATACAAGGTCACAGGCCTGTCTATTGTACTGCAACTTTTTTTTTTTTTTTCAACCGGCCAACTTTTGGGTTTTGCACTTTTGCCATACTCCCTCCAATGTATAAAACATGTAGCTTTTTTATGTGCATGGTCCTATTTATAAGATATACTCAGAATGTTTAAAATTTTAGCTCTATTTTTTCATTTTTACTCTTATTGTTTACTAGTACTTGTTATTTTACTGCATTAATTATCAAACTCCTCAATTAGTTTCTATATCTAGGATAGGGAGTATTATATATGCTACTAATGTGTGCTATTGAGAATAATTTTGGGATTTTGATCCATGTCATCTCAGTTGCTTATGACGGATGGTCAACTTGGTTTTATGGTTTTTTAATTTTTCTGGTTGAATCAAGCACTGGAACTGGATAGGATAATCCATACAAGAGCCTGACCAACAAGTTTCCTTTAAGAGTTAAGAAATGCGTTGGACTTGTGTGTGGTTCTTTCTTTCTGGAGAAATATGCAGAGAAAATGATTGATCATCCAATCGCATTTGAAATGTTTCTGAAGATACCTTCTTTTTGGCAGGTAGCATCATTACTGTTGTTGTTTTGGTGTCATCTTGTCGTTTCTTCTCTTTAAAGAGGAATGGCAGCGTCCCTTCATAAATTTTGTATTCAATGCTGCATCTACATTTCCAACTATATCTAAGCTCTTTGTCGACTTTTAATTTCTCACCTACGTCGTTTATGGTACAGTTCGATATAATTATGAGAGATAGAGTTCCAGTTTTCCGGGGCTTTAATAAAGAGCAGCATATTTATGCAAGAATAAAAAGTAAACTTGTTGGCAGAGACTTTATTATTTTCGAATGGTTTTTAAATATTGAAATACTGCAAATTGATGGGTTAATTTGTGTTTTCTACTTAAAAAACGTGCATGCTCCACACTTCATGAGCTGCTCAAGGATAAATTGTTTATTATTAATATTACAGGTGGGGTAAAATTTAGTTTTTAACTTTTAAACAAAGCCTGATTCAAAAGTACTCATCCTTGGTGGTACTACTTTCTGCATTAGTTTTAAAAAAATTTTTATACTGTAGGAGATAAATATATAAAAAAAATGTTTTATAAAATCTGAAAATGATAGCTTTAAAAAGTGCTAAGCGCCCCCGTTAATGCGGCTGCGTCTTCCTCAAATGTGGGTATGTACTTCGCTATAAGTACGGATATATTTATTATTTTATAATCTAATTTTTCCGAATATTATTATCTCATTTCTTTAGGAACAAAATAATATGGCCATTTAATGCCCACATGCAGGCCACACTGTGACGACCTGTGTGAAACTTACATAAAAGTTTGTGATTTGTTGGATCTAAATCCCCATTATCAGAATTTCATGTGCCCATTATTGGTCATACACAATTACACCTTCTATTTTAAATTTTATTTGGATTATTATAAATCTTTTTGATATTTATATAATTCATATCCATTCATTATTAAATCAAGCATTGTTCAGTTTGATATTAGACTTTATATAAGGTGCAAAAATAATACTACCTAAGAGTAGGATTTCAAAAAAACTTTATAATTTTTGAATTAATAGGACAGATCGATCTTCCTGCCCAAAGGAATTGGTCAAATTTTTCCCCACAATTATTTATTTCCCCTTTGTTCTGAATTAAATTTTGTATGACAATTTTATTTATTCTATTATTCAAAGAAGAATACGCACGCAGCCAACTCATACTCTTGTATTTCAATCATTCCAACCATTGATCTGATATATATACATTGATCTCATTATTTTTTTTATATATATATATATAATAAACTAAACTTATAAACTTTTTTAAGTAAATAGATTTTTCCATTATACTACCTTCGTTCCTAATTATAATAGCTAATTGACTAATTTGAGAAGATTAAGGAAAGAAGTTAAGTTCGTTATTTGTAATAAATGTGTTATATTTCCTAAATATCCTTGCTAATCAAGTATATTGGTTAGAAATATCATTGTTAGAAGGACTACTTTGGAAGAAAATGCATAAATATGATAGACAAAATGGATTGGGTTCTTATATTAGAACCAGAATAAAAGTCAAATAAAATCTTATATTAAGAAACCGGAGGTAGTAAGTAGTAATATGATTAATATCTAATTTTTAATACTTTATATATAATGGAGAATATAATTAATGTCTGTATATTAAATATTTCATTCAATACTTTAACTAAAAGTGTTTTTTTTTTAAATCAAAATAATTAGCCTTCTGAAGTTATGTAATAAGGGAATTGGTGAGGTGAAATAAGGATAATGATTGGAATTCAAACTTTCTTATTAGCTTTCATGAGATTTATCTCTTTCTAAATTCAAGTTCAAATAAATCTTAAATTATCTATAAATTACTTATTTAAAGTTTAAATAAATAAGCTCCACAAGGAAGTTTGTGAGTTTGTGATTCATGATATGTAGCCCAATGCATTTCATTAGAATGATAAGTTCATCGGCCAAAAAATAAATACAAAAACTATTCGATTAATTAAATATAATTTTTATTAAAAAAATATTTGCTGTTGGACGGCCATAATTTATTAATCATAATAAAAAGATCACATCATGAAGATCTTAACAGGGTGTATTAGAAACTAATCAGTTTGGAATCAAAATATAATTCAAAACCAGCTCATCATTACAAATCTAAAACATGTCTTGCATAACTTGGCAAAAAGACACATAAAATAAAAGTGAAGCATACGAGCTTTTAATCCACAAAAAAGAAAAGAAAAGAAAAGAGATTCAAAGTTGCTCTCTACAGAAGATTCATGATTCTAGCAAGAAGATAATTAAAGATAATTTGTTTAATCATGGGTGAGAAAAAAGAATTGAAATGGCCTCCAAAGATTGTGTCTTTAGTAAAGTTTAAGATTCCATGTCTTCCTTCATAATATTATTACCCCTAAAGTTGATTAAGGGGTGCAAATGTACAACTGCCGCCACTTTATGCTTAATCATCATAACTCAGTTTTATTCGCTGAAGGATTAAATTTAATTACGTGTAATTTCTTATGATCCTTTCATCAAGTTTACTGATAAAGTGTGCCGTAAAACTCATTTCTTAGAAGCATTAAGTTGTTAAAAGTAACGATTATATATTAGTCATTATATTTTATTAAGAAAACTTATCATTGGTGATTATGTAAGGCGGGGAAGGAACTCTGATCCCCTTTTTATAAGGTTAGTCGTTCAAAGATTATAATTGAGAAAGAGTATTTTACGGAGAAAAGTAAATTTAAGGAATAAGTGTTTGTAGAAAAGTAATGTAAACTCAGTTGGAATTAGGGGCAATATTTTCCTAGTCAACCATTCCAAATGAAATATATTATTTTGCTCTGCCCTTACAGGATTGGATTTTTTTATTTTTTTTATTTTTAGTTGCCCAGAGTATCTTCCTATTCGAACGATAAGATACTAATCTCTCGAGGTACTATCAAGCGCTGTAGCGGGGATCCCTTCTAACAGTGTTTTTCTATTTACACCACCTCAGAGATCGAACCCAGAATAAGATGTTTAAAGTGCCCAAATTTCTTTCACTTGGATCAACACTTATTGGTTTTTTTTTTTTAATTTTGGTGATACGCAGGATTGGATTTTGTGGAACGCTAAGAACGAAGCAGGAAGCCAAAGTATAAGGAAAATTACTTGGCAGGGACTTTTTGGCGCAAATTGATGGAAACACACACCACACAGGGGGAAGCTGGATGTGGGGAATTATATGCTCATCTGATGAAGGATCCAATAAAGGGGACATATCTGTTTCATGATCAGCATCCAAAACCATAATCAATCAATATAATGTTCTAAATTAGGAGGTAAGGATGAACATGTTGGTGGGCAGACACAGAGCTAAGCATGCCAAGTAGTTCTTCCCCACTTCATGGGGGGGGGGGGGGGTTAGACTGGACATTGACAGTTCTGTGGATTCAAGTGAAAGATGGGTGAAGGGATTTCACCAATTCCTTGGATTTCACCCTAACATTATTGTAGCTCAAATGCTAATTATTCTCCGAAGTTTGAAGGAGATATCAATTGAGTGGAAGCCTAACCTAACTTATTTTCACTTTTACTCTTTGCTTTGGCTATTCGAAGAAATAATTTTTGCTAAAAAGGAAAAAATAATAAAATTTTAATAACTAATTTATTTTCTTAATCTTCTCAAATTAGTCAACTAGCTCTTATAATTAGAATTATAGGTAGTACTAAAAAACACATTAAAGAGACAAGTTTTTTTTAAATATTCCTCTGACCCTATTTATAAGGCAAAGAAAAAATATTTTTTTTAGTCCTATTTATAAGTTACTTCATTAAATTTTTAGTATGAGTGTATTATTTTGTCTTCATTTACTATAAGGTAAGCTAAATTTTTTTAAAGTGTATATATTAAATAGAGATAAAGTTAAAATTATTATATTTTAATAGCAAATTAATATATTTTAAGGTTTTCTTAATGTACATGAAATATACTAAAAATATCTTATAAATAAGATCAGAGGAATACATTCTTGTGAAAAAAAATTTCTCTGTATTTACAAATCATTCTTATATTTCACTTTTCTTTCCTTCTTTTTACGAGAATTAAATAAAAGCAAAACTGAAAAATGATTAAAAAATACCCGACATATGACTTATATTCTAACACCAAAATTTTTTCTATATAATGTAGATAATTGTATTTTTATCACGTACAGAACGGACTGAGTATATAATTCATAAATAAAATAAAAAAGATACAGATTAGAACTTAAAATTCCGTGCAATTGCATATAAATGTAGATAATTTTCTCTGTATCTGCCTCTATTAAATCAGTAAACAGTCTCAGCTCAAAAAAAAAAATCAGTAAACAGTAAATACATATCTAGTAAATATAATCACAAACTCACAAGAAAGGAATAACTAGGAGGAAAAAGCAAAGTAGTTTCCTGTAAACACAGACACAAATGCACAACGGACGCATTTTTTCCCTCACGAACGCACAATCTCTCTCTAAGGACAAACCGTGACTCTACCACAATCCCCACCATTTCCATTCTTCTTTCTGCTCATTTTCCTCTTCACATTCTGATTTTCCCTATTTTGCCATCTCTCCCTGCTCAATTTAATACCATGTAGATCTGCTTCCAACCCACTCCTTTCAGACATCCTTCCGAGCCCCATGCCCTTACACCGTCGAAATTTCTGAGCTTGATCTCGGCTATATTTCCCAATTCGTCTTTTGAACAATCTGTCGTTTTAATCTCTACAATGTCCTCCCTTCGTCCAGATCCGACCTCCAGAATTCACCCGGAGCCGGATGTGGTCGAAATTGATCATTTCGATCGCCTCCCAGATTCTCTGCTTCTCCTCGTCTTCAACAGGATCGGCGATGTCAAGGCCCTAGGTCGGTGTTGTGTGGTTTCCCGGCGATTCCACTTTCTAGTGCCCCAGGTTGAAAACGTCGTCGTTCGTGTGGACTGTGTTATATCCGACGACGATTCCTCTTCTTCTGCGGCCTCGTCAGACAAATCTCGCGGCCCCTTCTCTTATCTATTTAGGGTAGTGTTTGGTGGGATTGTGAAGCCCCTTCAAGCTCTGGGTCAGTTGTTAGGGCCCAGAAGGGCTTCTGTGAGTTCAGGTTCTTCGTCTTCGTCATCCTCGCTTGCTGTTGGGAGTGAAGACGTGGAAGGCCAGCAAGGCGGTGTGACCCATCACTCCCCTACTCAAGTTTTGAAGAATTTCAACGAGATTCGGTTTCTTCGAATCGAGCTACCCAGTGGGGAATTAGGAATAGATGACGGGGTTTTGTTAAAATGGAGAGCTGATTTTGGGTCAACTTTGGATAATTGTGTAATCTTAGGCGCTTCTTCGGTCATTCACCCAAGAAAGTCTTTGAATTCTCAGGATGGGAATTCTGATGCCTTATGCGTCAACTATGGCGGTGATGACAATGGAAGCATACCTGATTCTTTTTACACAAACGGGGGTCTGAAACTTAGAGTTGTTTGGACAATCAGCTCTTTGATTGCTGCTTCAGCAAGGCACTACTTGCTGCAGCCAATCATTTCAGAGCATAGAACATTAGACAATTTAGTTTTGACAGATGCTGATGGGCAGGGTGTGTTATACATGGATAGGGATCAGTTGGAGGAGCTGAGGGTGAAGCCTCTTTCAGCTTCTTCAGCATCAAAGAGGACTCTTGTTCCTGCCCTCAGTATGAGGCTTTGGTACGCACCCTACATAGAATTGCCAGATGGGGTTGTTTTGAAGGGCGCAACTCTTGTTGCAATTAGGCCAAGTGAGCCATCCCCCATGGGGAAGAAGGAAATGTCTGATTTGTCTTGGGTTTCAACAGCATTTGAAGAGCCTTATGGGACTGCTGTGAGGATGCTGGTGAAGAGGAGGACTTACTGTCTCGAGATGAACTCCTTCTAATTCGAGTAATAGGATAGAAGGTAAATTTTATTCTTCGCTTACTGTGCAAGTTTTGTGTTTCCTATTCAACCTTTATAATATATAGCTAAAGAAATGCCAGTTGAAGAAATATGTGACTGTTTTTCACTTGCATATTTGACTCTGCTGGAACCCCATGCTTGAAAGGCGCCTTTGCCATAGGGTTCTGCTATGTTTAGATATAGTTTCTTGATTCTATAATAAGATAACGATATAGGGGACGTCTCACTTTCTTACCTCATCAGTTGTTTGTTGATTGCTTGAGAGTGATAGCTAGTTTAATATCTTTTGTTTATTGCTTTAGAAGTGGGATAATGAGGAAACATAACTTTGGCAAGCTTCTGTCGTTCAACATGTGAAAAGGATGTATGAAGTGTATTCTATTGTCTGCTGTATATAGTTATGCTAGCTTACTCAGAATTAGTGCCGCAGATCTGGAATGATTTCCCTGGAATAATAGCATCATCTGATTGTGATGAACTGATGCTTTCCTTATTTATTTATTGGGATTTTTAATTGGCATTAGCCTATTTTTATTTTTTGGTTAAAAAGGAAGTTTTAACTACTCTTATTTACTCTTC